TCTCCAAATGAGAGAGTTATGAATTTTATATAAATAGAAATCAATCGCGTAATTAAAATTAATTATATCAAAATGGTAATTAGAGAATGGTTGAGTTTTGACTAAAAGTGTAAAAAAGAGTTGCGTACTACTCCTCGAGATATAAACTTTAGGAAAAAGTTTGCCGAAAATGAAGTCTGTACCAGAGAGATATGATTTTTATAAAATCATTTATTTTTAACCCCGTTAGGCACAAAAATAAAAGTCAAAACTAGCAAAAACAACATTGTAGTACTCATTGAGAGCCTCACATAAATATAGAGAGGGCTTAGATCGGAGCTCGCATGATGAAGCTGCCATCTGGAGCGATCCCCGGAGTCCCGAGCCCAATTCAACCCTACATCAAAGGTTTCACACAACTAGAGTGAGTATACGACCCCTATTTTCACTATTTTAAATATTTGACGTGCGAGCGCGCGCTGGGGTGGGAAGGGGGAATACATTCTTATCAAATGGTTTTATTAGAATATTTATCGTTATATATCCAATCATTTTATAAAGCTTAAAGCCTTAGGATAATGTAGTTGTAGATACTATGTCTAGTGCTAAGCTATCATATTATACCTAAAAGATATGATGCCCGATAGTCAAGGAAGAGAAAATACGTAGATATTATAATGACTAGATCCCTAGAATAAAATAGTACCTAGAAGTTATGCTGGTCAAATTTAGGGATATGCAATGTACTTAGTTGTTACTCTGTTCAAATATCATGTTTTCAAATAACCATAATTAGGGTGTATATATATATATATATATATATATATATATATATATATATATATATATATATATATATATATATTTGACGAACAAAAAAAATGAATCACTAGATGATTCATTTATAAGATTATTCACAAGAAAAATTCTCAAAAAAACATCTTTATGATTCATTCTTAAGTAAATTAAGAAAAAAATTCACTTTTATGATAATTTTAATGAATAACAACAAAATCATTATATAAATGAATCATCGAGATGTTTTTTTGAGAATTTTTTCTTGTGAATCATCTTAAAAATGAATAATCTAATGATTCATTTTGTTTGTTCGCGAAAAAAATATGTAGAAAAAAAACTTCTTACCTTCCTACCAAAAATTTCCTTCTTATTTGATCTTGATTATATATATATATATATATATATATATATATATATATATAAAATAATTATGAGATCAAAGATTATAATTAGCAAATATAAGATAAATATTTATATTGTGATAGTTATACGAAATCCCTAAATAGGATTAAGATAAAAGATTATAACTATCAAATATATGATAAAATATTTATATTGCAATAATTATAGGAAATCCCTAGGACTAATTTAGATAAAAGATAAAAAATAAAAGATAAATATCTAATGTCAATGGGTTAGTGAGCTATTATTTCATCGAAAGGCCTTGATTAAATTCGATATTTAATCGTTAATCTTGCAAGTGGTAGTAATTATATGTATAGATCTATACAGGGTCTGACAACCGCACCTGTGATTGCTTGCTAGAATCCCAACAATATAACCTTCTTATTATTCACTCTTCTACGTCCAATGAAACGTCATGGTGGTGCACAATTATTAGTAAAACATTGCCGGTTATGGGGGCTCAAGGTAATACATTAGATCACCTTAGGGTACGATTACCATTATGAATGCCTCAGAATGGTAGATAAAATATGTTAGGATCGTTAGTCATCTTACAAAGATAGTAAATTAGGATTAATAAAAAATATCCTAAAAGATAATAAGATAGAATCCTTAAATATCCTCAAAGACTGTAAACGAGGGTCGATAAAATACTTTAGGAAAGGTTTTTCTGAAAGAAAAATGATTCTTAAACTAATACAGCCCAATAAAAGCCAAAAACTCTCAAAACATGTACACTCACCAACATTATGTTGATATTTTCAAAAATACATATATTCTCAGAGAGATGAATGAGAAAGAGGATAGTTAGGTCAAATAGGAAGAGGATAATCGTGTCAAGAATGTGGAATTCTACAAGGAAGTTGCTCGAGTTTAAACATTGTCTGTTTATCGTCTTTAGGCATGTTTAGGAACATGTTTTATCTTTTCAAAACAATGTAACACTTGAATGATTTAAAATAAATAGAAGATATGTTTTACAATAACCTTGTGTTATGTTCTCTCTCTCTCTCTCTCTCTATATATATATATATATATATATATATATATATATATATATATATATATATGCCTCGACCTAATCTCCCCTCATACGCACTGCCTGACATTTCCACCGTCAGTCGGTAGTGTGACAAAAAATAATAAAAACTTATGAATTTCTATATTTTTAGTTTTTTTATTGATAAAAAAATAAGCTTTGAAAAACGAAAATAAGATTGGTTTCATGGTTAATAATGGTTCTCTATTGAACCTCACCATATATATATATATATATATATATATATATATATATATATATATATGTCTTTCTCTCTCTCTCTCTCTCTCTCTCTCTATATATATATATATATATATATATATATATATATATATATATATATATATATATATATATATCATTACCTATATGTTAAAGAGTTGAACTTGGATCCACATGGATAAGCTCTTCCTGATGGTTTTGACCATAAAAACATCCTATGTGATCATGCAACCCTAATTACTTTGGATCTAAGTTTTTCTATAGTTATACATACAAATAGAACTTCCAAAGCAATAACCCTAATACTAGCAGACAATTTCAAAATTCAGTATGAAAATTGGGTTAGAATGTTAATGTGCTTGTTAACTCGTAATAAAAGGATTTCACGGATGATCTTGACTCTTGAAAGCTTTAGTGCCCCAAGTGTTGTACCTCTAATGGAGTCACAAAACACCTAAAGCAAAGGATGAGTGAGAGAGAGAGGGCAAAATTCGGCTAGGGTTTCTTCTTGGAACCACTGGCCGAAAATAGGAGGTCATGGGGTCCTTAAATAGTTGTGGCTACTAGGGTTTTCAGGTGAAACCCTAATTCCTTGCTTAGGCTTCAAGCAGCCCATGAACCCTCTTTCTAGAAGGCTTAGGGCCTCCTATAGTTTTCGTCTAACCCTTTCAAAAGGAGTCCATCAGCCCAGTTTGCAACTATCAATGATTTGCAAAACCAGTCACCGTACTTTTAATCAGTACCTTTAATCCCAAAATTAATACCAAATTAATTTCTAATTAAATACTAATTAAATAATATGATTTTAATTAATATGTTATTCTTATAATATAATATATTAATAAATCATTAAATAACCTCTCTCTCTCTCTCTCTCTTTCTCTCTCCAAAAGTCATCATGTCAAGTTGCTATGGTGAAGGCAACCAAAAGGACCATGCTACTATCAAATCAAGTACATACCAATTATAGTTATGGACTTAGACACCTAATTTAACACTTCCCTCATCCAATAGAACGAGCATTAGCAGCCATTTTTAATGTATAATGTTCTCACTCACTGCCTCACTATTACCTTTCCCGACCTCATGTTTCACTGATGATGCCCATTTGCATACTTCATTGTTGGGTGTTCTTCCTTACCGACGTTTCCCCAAAATTTGTTTGCCACCTATTTCTTGGTTTCAGGAACTGTTATGAAACGTTTTGCTTCATCAGTAGATCTATATTTCACCGATTTTACTCCATACGACACCTCTAACTTTCACATGTATGTATATCCTTTAAGTCTCTTCTTCTTCACACCTTACTCCATCCTTTCGGTCTTGCTTTTCCTCTCCTCATTCTCACCATAACTAATACATATTCAATCTAAGAAAGCAATTTTAAAATTTATTAGGGTGTGAATTTTCTAATTTGGTGATTTGTTGTTTTCAATTTGGGATTAATCGATACCGGTGGTTTGCTCAAATTCCTCAAGGTTCACTAGAGGTCTAGGCTAGCTAAAGCCCAATTAAGAATAGTCGGCTATGGTTATTTATTTGCAGGAAAAGAAAAAGGAGGGTGAGATAATTTGATTTTTTTTAATGGGACTTTCAATTGATGGGTTTTTGGCCGAATTCTATTTCAAATTGCAGGCAGGTAAATTCAATATACCATTCGATGTAGATGGAGGGTCAGTTATAATTAAACCCTCTCACAAAGAAGAATGGATAAAGATTTGAACCTTTTTTTATTCAACGATTTCAAGATCAATCATTTTCATCTTCATTTTTTGGACAAACTAGCAGCAGATATGACACTTTATCGTCGGATGATCGGGTCTTTAATGTACCTTACAACTAGTCATCCAGATATCAAGTTTTATGTTTGCTATTGTGCTAGGTTTCAGGCGAATCCATGTGAACCACATATGACTGCTGTAAAGAACATCGTCTGATACCTAAAACGAACAACCTCTCTCGGAATAAGGTATCCTTCCAACTCCGGTTTCTTTGTTCAAGCGTTCTCCGATGCTGATCTTGGTGGTTGCGGTCTCAATCGTAAAAGAACTTCTGAGGGATGTCAATTTCTGGATGACAAACTTGTTAGTTGGCAATCGAAGAAGTAGACCTATGTATCCCTGTCTACTGCAAAAGTCGAATACATCACAACTACGTCATGCACTTCTCAAGTTGTATGGATTCAGAATCAACTTCGAGATTATGGGATAAATATTAAGAGGATTCCTTTCTACTATGATTTCGAAAGTTCAATTCGGATTTGTCATAATCCAGTGCAACACTCAAAAACGAAACATATTGCACCGTAATATCATTTCATTAAGGATCAATTATAAGATGGAAATGTCGAAGTACATTTTGTTAGATCCTCTAATCAACTGGCATATATCTTTACGAAAGCCTTACCTGAACCAACCTTCAATCGAATTCTACAAGGCTTAGGAATGATAGAAGCAGACTCTATTCCAAAACCAACATAGTAAAATAAAACAAATGTTCTTATTCTGAACTGCTCCGAGCCTTCGGAATGCTTTGTAATTTATTGTTCATGTTCCCAATGGTTACGAGTGCTCAAAACGTCTCAGAATCCTTTGTTCATCTGGCGATTCAGAATATCATGTATCCTTTGTATGTTACGTATTTTCCAACTAATTCCAAGCTTCAGAATGGTTCGAAAGATATTGTTCATTTGTGTTTCTGAATTTTAATGTATGTTTTTATTTTCTTTTTTCAGAAAATCAAAAATACAAAAATATTCTATTTATTTCTATTTTTATTTCTTTTTCAGAAAATCAAAAATACAAAAATATTTTCTTTATTATTTCTGTTTTATCTTTTTCCCCAAAATAATAAATACAAACATATATTTTTTTGTGAATACGTTCCTGTTGTAGGTATGCATTTGTTATCTCAATTCAGAATGATGGGGCAGGTATAAAATTCCGAATCTATGTACTAGCTAAGTGTCCCTAGAAGCATGCTGTTGCATGTTGACCCAAGCCTCTGAGAGTCTATCTTGAAGCTTTAATGAAACTATCATTTCAATCGTTTCTTCCCAATCAGGCTATTTAATCACATAAGTCGTTGAGCTACCTTACTCTTCTCACATTGAGTTAAGATTTGACTACTTTTTCATTCTTTAATAGAGGATATGGAAACGTCCACTGGCGAATTTCTCTCTCCACTCATGCCGTATAAAAGGTAAATCGATGATTGATTTTCTCTCGCCACTATCAAGAATTCAAAAATGCTCTTTCTCTATGCACTGTTCATCGTCGTCTTCAAGCTGCATCCATGGCTGCATCATCTGAAACAACCTCTCATGCCTATAAAACCGCATCAACTATCTTGCTGAACATCAAGCCCAACCAAAATTTGGCTTTGGATCTTGATTCATCTCATTACTCTGAAGTCCTCAAGTCATTGATTGAATGCCTGTGTTATTCTCTATTGGCTCAAGCCTTAACAATGTCTGAATCTGTACCTTTGATTCATCCATCTAGTGTGTACTCCTCTGCAAACTACATGCAGAATAAAGGCTGAATTACTTTTGAGGCCGATTCCATCAAAACCTCCATCACCAAAGCATGGTTTAGCAAAATGCTAGGGTTTACTTCTACTGACGGCCTGATTGATCATGAATTGATCTCTTTATATGAAATCATCATGATTATCTATCAAATGGGGTATATTGGGGATATCTTGTTGGATTAGTGTTTAAGCCCGTAACTATATTTGATATGTAATTGACCCGGTTATGCATGGTCCTTTTGGGTTGCCTTCACCAAAGCAACTTGATAGGATGATTTATATATATATATATATATATATATATATATATATATATATATATATATATATATATATATATATATATAGATAGATATATATGGTTTATTAATATTAGACAAGAATTAATTATGTGGCTACAAGACATTAATTAAATAAAGGGGACTAGAACTCAATTGTGTGATAGTTGAATATTGGGCTAATGGACATAGAAGTTGAAGTGGACGAAATCTATAAGGAAACCCATTAGAATTCGTCCAAGGCTTCTAAGGAGGGAGTCAATGGGCTGCTTAAGGCCCAAGCACTCATATTAGGGTTTCATAGTTCAAAACCCTAATAGCCTCACTATATAAGAAACCCCTAAGGCCCCAAAAACATGTGGAAGGAATCCGTAATCCTCTCATAGGTCATTCTCTTGCTTGTAGTGTTTGTAAGCCATTAGAGGAGTGACATTGGTGACTCTAAGCTCTAAGACAAGAAGATTCAAGCCATTCTTGTAAAGGTAATCATCTAGATCTAATCTTATATGATAATTTCAAAATATCTAGGGTTCTTAAGCCTTGGATGAATTGCATGTACAATAGAGAAACCTAGATCCAAGCTTTACGGTTTGCATGAGCACATAGGATGTTCTTTTGTATAAAAATCATCAGTGGTATTAGAGCCTTGATTGGTTTCTGCTATATTTGATGTTTACATGTTCATCCATTGCTTGAAAAATCAATTTCTGCCCTCTACTCGACCGAACTCGGCGAGTCACTTGCCGGACTCAGCGAGTCAGCCCAACTCGGCGAGTCCAAATAGTGACTCGGTGAGTCCGGGAGTCAGATAGAGGGAAAATCGGGATTTTTGCAGTTTTTGCGGAAGGATAATTACCAAAAACATTTTTCATTAATAAAATCCGGATTTTATCAATATTTGGTGATTATCCTTACCAAAATAGAATATAATTGTCAAAATTAAGATAATTACTTGTTTTATAAGATAAATATTAACTGTTTGTAATTTTGTTTTGAATTATCTTGTAATAAATTGAATTTGGTCAAATTTAGATAATTACTAATTATTTGATTATTTTAATTATTTGTAATTTGATCTAGATAGTTTTGAAAGGTTTCAAAACTTGTCATCTTGTTTTGGAATTTAAAATTTTGATTAAAAGTTTAATTTTGAAATATTAAATTCTAAAACCCTAGTTTTTGAAAAAGTTCAAATTACACCCTTATTGTTTTATTAAGTTAGTTAAATGTATAATTAAAGGAGAGTTAATAAATCCATAATGATATGGTTTATATTTAATTAATTAAAAGTGTAATTTAAAAGTGTAAAATACACCCTTATACATATATAAAATTAAAAGTCTAATATTATATATGTCTAAGTAAAGAGTCAGTCTTACCGTTAGTAGGCCTCATTCACGAAGTTGGTTTCCAAGGGGTGTTTAAGTAAATTGCCTATAAAATGGCGATCAAATGGGTATCCACTCTTACCCACCGCACTCTTGACTAGTGGAGGGTCGTTAGCCGAACGGGTAGGATAGGACACAACTTTCCATTATAAGTATAATGAACTACGAAGTACCTAAACACTTTTATAAATTCCCAAATCTTAGTTACTTTAGGAAAATGTGGAATTGGTGCAAATCTATGAAATTGCACATTTCACCCTTATTGGTCGACACTAATATGGGACCAATGAAGGATGGAAATGGGTAGCTTGATGTTTATCATAGATCAATGGAGCGTGTGTGGTTAACCGACACATTGATTAGGTGATTCGTAACATCGAGAGTACCAAACTAATTTGCATGGTTATCCATAACTTATTTGTGATCCTCGGCATCCTAGTCACAAATAAAGGTCACAATCGAGATTTAAACATTCCATTGAAAAGTTCAATGAATCTCAAAGGATTTAGGAGTTTTAATTCACTTAAAACTAAAATTTATTTTTTGTTTTTTCATGGTGGAAATTGGTAAATTGTCATTTACCTACCTTCAAATGTTGTGTAATTTGGATTACAACATCCATCTTCCAAGTTGTAGAATATTGTGTTGGGTTCTAGCCTTAATATCTCATTTCGGTGTTTTTATTAAGGACTCAATCAATTGACTTGAATTTTCTCCCATTTTGTAGATGTCTGATTCTAACTATGGTCTTCCCAAATCCCTTGGAACAAGCTTTCCACATGAAGATGATATTCCAAGATTCGATCGAGGAACAAGAGATCATTATTCACTTCCTCCACCTTATCCTATTGTTCTCCCTGACCCACAAGTTCGAAGGCTTGAAAAGCTCAAGCTCACTTAAGCCCTTTTGGCAAGTAAACATGAAGAAGGAAATTCAGTATGTGCACACTATTGGGTTATGAGCATTCTAACACTCCTAAGTGTACATGCAACCCTAAATACCTTGGATCTATGTTTTCTCTATTATACATGCAAATATGAATATCCAAGGTATTATCCTAAACTAGCATACGAAAACTATCAATATAACAAGATAGAATACATACCTCTTTGATGGTGCTTGTCTTCATGAAGCTTGAGTGCCTAGTGCCCCAAGTGTGACACCTCAAATGGTTCACAATCATCAAAACACTTAGAATAACTTGAGAGAGTTCTACACTTCATGAAAATCGGCTAGCCCTTTCTTACTCTCACTAGTGGCAAGATTTTCCTCAAGAATAAGATGCTTATATAGTTATACAATTAGGGTAAACTCTAATTGTCATGACTTTCCATTTCCTTGGATCCATGGGTTCAAATATACCATGGAGCATCCATGGAGCATCATATAGGTTTTGGCCCAACTAGATAATCCATGGAGCATTAGCCCACTATACAAGTATGGATGATTTACACAATCAACCCATATATTTAATTAGTCTTCTTTTGATCACTTAATTAATCCTAGATTAAATCTTGATCAATACTAATTAAATAATCTCATTATTCTTATTATTAATATACTAGAACTTATAATATATTAATAACCATAAGTGTCTTATTTCTCTCATTATAGTCTATCCAAGTGCATTATGGTATGCAACCCAAATGGACCATGCCGGGTCGGGTCAAGTCTTACCAATTATAGTTATGGACTTAGACATTAATCCAACAGTCTCCCACTTAGATAAGTCTAAAACTATTATTGCGTATGACTTCAGGAACCAACTAACAATCGTAGCTCTCAATTGTAATGACCCGTTCCCGGTATGTTGATTTATTGGTAATTATAGTGAGTTTTTCAAGAGGGACTCGGCGAGTTCTAGCCTGACTCGCCAAGTAGGGTAGCGCCTGAGGGCACGCGTGAGCCGGGGACTCGGCGAGTCCATATCCCTGACTCGGCGAGTCCATCTGTCTGGGTGAAACCCTAAAATCCCCGGGTTGCCCACTATTTATACCACCTTATAGCCCCCATCCTCGCCTCCCTCACCCTGAGAACGCAGTGTTAGAACCCTAAACCTCCCTTGAAGAGCTTATATGTGTTTTGGTGCCATTTTGTGAAGGTGTGAAGAAGGAGAAGAAGGAAGAAGCAAGGAGAAGTGTTGTAGTGCAAAGATCCAAGGCGAAATCAGAGTTAATTGAGGTATTTTCAGAGTTCCATCTTGTTATATGCTTTAAACTTCCATTAGAGCTCTCCTAAGAGCTAGTTGATGCTTGTTCCAAGCCTTACACTTGCATGAACGTCTTATTGAGTCGAAATATCTATGGATCTGAATGTTGGGGTGTTGTAGAGCCCAGATCTACTGTCTTTTTGGAGTTATATTGCATGATAACCATAGATCTACCCATTTTATGCATCTTTTAGCCTTATTTCCCTTATTCATGAGGTTGTACACGTAAAGTTGGAAACTTTACGTGGTAAATCAGCTTATTGGACTCAGATCTATCAATTGTATGCACTGGATTCAAACAAAATCGAGTAAAAATCAGTTGCATGGCGGCAACTCGGCGAGTCGGAAGAACGACTCGACGAGTTGGGTCGCGAGTCCCGAGTTCTTCAGTTTTATCAGTGTCGAGTGGACGAGGTGAGTTAGGGAGTGGACTCAGCGAGTTGAGGGTAAACTCAGTGAAGGAGGGACTCGACGAGTTGTTCATCAACTCGGCGAGTCCAAGGCAATCTTCTTGGGATCAAGAACAACTCGTCGAGTCTGTTCATCCGACTCGGCGAGTCGGATGAAGATTGTCTGAGTTCTTGGATCAAGAGGGTACTCGTCGAGTCGATGCCAGACTCGACGAGTAGCAGTGAGTAAAAGTGAAAAGTGAGAGTAGGACTCGGCGAGTTGGGTGGCCCAACTCGGCGAGTCAGCCCAAAGGAGAGTTGACTTTGACCGAGGGTAAAAGAGTCATTTTACCCCAAGCGCAGTGTTTAGTATTTGATTGAGTGTGTTTATGGATTTGTAGCCGAGGAGATTCAGGAGCAGCCGCCGTTAGCTTTCCGAGCCACACACTCAGCAGCCAGCTTACGAGGTGAGTTTCCTTCCAGTAGGAACGGGTCTAAGGCCACAATGGCGGCCCGTTCAGTTAGCAGTAGTTTCCGGATTTAGGTCCGATGCAGTAGTTAGTATGTTCGATGCCTTCGTGGTTCGAACAGGATTTGTGTGCTATGTTTTATGTGTTAAGTATTGTGTTCCGGGCCACGGCCCGATGTAGCACGTCGTATATGTGTTATGCTAGTTGATGTGTTATGCTATGCCATGTTCAGTCAGTCAGTTCCGGAATTCGGTCCGATGCAGTTAGTTCCGGACTT